AGCGACCGAATGAGGAAGAGGAGGGCCTTCGCCGACAAGGAGCTGGAGTCCATCATGCTGGAGCGCGAGTACAAGGAACGCGACCTTCTTCTCGAATCTTCTTCCGGACCGCTTCTTTTCCGGCGCCACGCCGCCGAGTTCAACGCCTACAAGGCGTCCTATTCGCCGTCGGTTGCCGTGGAAACGGCGGGGAAGGACCTGTGTGGTGGCGGCGGCGGTGGGGGCGGTGGTTTCCTGGACGTTTCCATGATGGCGTTCCCGTCGGGAGGCGTGGAGCTGATTTCGTCCAACGTGAGCGTTGCCACGGCGACCTACCGCCGTGGCAACGGTGGTGGTGGTGGGGGGGGAGGAGTGGGCGGCGGCTTCGTGGTGTGGCCCAGAGGCCCCGCCCACCTGGGCGACGCCCTCCTCTACCAGAAGTGCCTGTTCAACGCCACGGCCGTCCAGAACCTGAAGCCGCACGGCGCCGTTTGGGAGCCAAAAGGAACGCCGGAGGGATCCCGGGAATCTCGGGAATACCGGGAATACCGGGAATCACCGGACCCCCAAAGGGCAGATTCAAACCAGAACCAGAACCAGAACCCGAAACAACACGGGCTCTCTCAGAGGGAGGGCTCCGCCTTCTCTCCTCCAAAGAGGAGCTTCGGACACTCGTTCCAGAATTCCCGTTCCCAAAATGGACCCAATTCCCATTCCCAAGACGGGCCCCATTCCCATTCCAAAGATGAGCCCCATTCCCAAATTGGCGCCCATTCCCAAGATGGGCACCATTCCCAAATCGAGCCCCATTCCCAAATTGGCGCCCACTCCCAAAATGGCCCCCATTCCCATTCCAAAGATGAGCCCCATTCCCAAATTGGCGCCCATTCCAAAAATGGCCCCCATTCCCAAAACGACGGGCCCCATTCCCATTCCCAAAATGGCCCCCATTCCCATTCCCAAGACGGGCCCCATTCCCAAATCGGGCCCCATTCCCAAACATCCTCCGGCCCCCTCCCGAACAAGCCGAGCAGGGACGGGAAAAGGAAACTCGGCTCCTTCCAGTCTCTCATCCAGAACTCGCTTAACGAGAAAAACAACAATAATAACAACAATAACAACAACAATGGCGGCGGATTGGCGCCGGAAAACCGGGCGCCGTGCTGCAAAGAGCTCCTGGAAGAGGCCGCCCGGAAGTTCGGGAAGGAAAGGTTCGGGAAGGACTTTCCCACCAAGCCCGTAGGGACCAAGATGGCCCTGGGCGAGTCCCTTTCCTTCTCCGTGGAGGCCATTTTGAAACGGTCCCCGCCCGCCATGAGCCGAGCATTCCACTAATTTATTAGACAAAGAGAGCAGTTGGCAAAAATGCAGTTTGTTGAAAGTAGCGATGAATCATGAACCATTTTGAAGCACAGCAGATTTTCCCATTTTGACCAAAGTTTGGGAAAAATGTCACAAGTTTCAAGTGAATTTTAAAAAGTCATTTGTTCCATGTTTCCTATCTCAGTCATGATTTCAATCCAGTTTCGTCCTGAATTGATTTAATTGATTGCCAGCCATTTTCAGAACAGAGTCCCATACTGCCAGAGTTTTTTGAGCATTTTGACAGATTTTTCTAAAGCCACAGAATAGTTTGTGCTATGACTATGTAAACACCGAACACACCAAAAGAAAGAGTAGACTCTATTCTTTCATCAGGAAAAAAAATGTGTTTCTACCTTATTCCGTTCTTCCTCGACGTGCGTCTCACCGGCGACATGTTCTCTCATAGAACCGTTACCTTTTTCTTATTTGCCTACAGTCTATGCTCATCTCCCATCAAAAGTGGCACTGCCCCCTAGAGGGTCAATTTGTTACTACATACTCTGTCTAGAAGCCGATATTTACGGACAAGCTTTAGCAGATCGTCCCCCCGCCACTCTCGCTGAAAAACATAAAAGACCTCTATAGAAGTCTTTGGCAGCCAACGAGTTAAGGGGGCAACTGCCAGCGGCAGGCCCACCTATTACTCCTTGCCATATTTATTCCGTCACTTATCGTTCTCCCGTTTACGGACGAATTTCAGCGCGTAACTCGTCGCGAATAGTTCGTAGGATCTGACCCAAAATCGGCACGCGCGTCCGACCCGACCACGGGACGCGTGCGTGTACGAAACTTTCTCAAAGGACCGGGCGTTTCCCAGTAAACGGGGGAAAAAGCGGCGAAATTTGGGCCATAGGAATGAATGGGAGAGTTTGAGAAATGGGACGAAAACCGTAACTACTCCCGCATGGTTCGACGGATTGGGCCCAAAATCGGCACGTGTGTTCGGACCAACCTGGGAATGCGTGCTCGTTCAAAACTTTCTCAAAGGACCGGGCGTTTTCGAATAAACGCAAAAAAATGCCGCCCCATAGGAAATGAATGGGAAACGGCCCCAGAGCTCAGCCGGGTCCCTCCATCACACCCCCCTCCAAAATTTCTTCAGAAATTTTTAGTTTTTTCCATTAATCCTCCTTTTTGCACTACAAACGTCAGGTTTTCCTCGCTAAGAGATTAACCCTTTAAAGCCCAATCCAAGAAAAAATAAGGAGAATTTTTGTTATTGTCTGAAGTCTTTATTTGACCTTAACAAAATTTGTGAGAAACAACGGAAATGAGGCAGATGCCCCCCCCACCCTGAGCCATGGTTCTGCTCCAGGTTTCTGCCTGTTAAAAGGAAGTTTTTCCTTGCCTGTGTCGCCTAGTGCTTGCTCATGGTGGGAATTGTTGGGTTTCTGTAATTAACTTCAGAGTAGGTCTGACCTGCTCTGTTTGGAAAGCTGTGAGACAACTGTTGTTGTGATGTGGCGCTATATAAATAAAACTGAATTGAATTTTTGAATATTCGTCATTTTTACCTTCTGCTAAGTCAAAATGATCGGGCATAGTCTTCTTCCCACTGTTATAAGGTATATCTGATTGTGTACAACAAGGTTTTGAACAAAGTTTTTACCATGAAATGATGCAAAAGGTCTCAGATGCAAAAATCTTCAGAAATCGAATGTGTAAAATAAGATACATTTGGCATTATAGGGTTAACTTTAGTCGTGGTTTTGGGCTCCAAATGAAACCACCGGATTTCCCCCTTTGTAATATTAATGTATAGTATATTATATTTTACATGTGCATGTTTTAATAACTTTATTGCGTAGAGTATTTAAACATTAACCAATGTTTTCCTCATGTCAATAAACTTTTTAAGACTGAACTCTTTCCATAAAAGGTGTCGGGTTTCTTTTTATATGCTGACGTTGACGTCAAACGTTTAAATCCAATTTTTTGTTTAGGTCAGAAAAATTCTACAAGATTTTTTTTTTTTGGGGGGGGTAAAAGCCCAAACATTAAATTACACACAAGAAGATGACGTAATGGGTTATTGCCCGGATTGATTTGGTAAAAATAAAAAAAAGAAGCTTGGAATATCTCCAGTTTGTCATGCTCAAATATAAAAATTAATGTTAAATTACTATTAAAAGTGAAAGTATTTTATCTGTTTTAATTTGATTAAATTAGATTCTTAAAGTAAATGTATTTAGCACATTGTGCTCTCAAAATGCCCCATTTTTTAAATATTAAAATACAAAATCATAAAACAGTAAATATATATATATATATATAACTCCCATCTAAATTATATCAATATTAATCTCTGATGGTAAATGTTATATATATTTGTTATGTTATATGTTAAGGGTGAAATAAAATAAAAGTAGATACATTTCCTCATGTCAGTTAATTTTAATTACCTTTATCATGTTTCATGTGATCATAATTTACAAAGTCATTAAATAAATGCGGCAGTCAGGATGAATTTGATCTAATGTCCATTTAAAGTATCCATCATTTATATGGAAATCAAACCAAGCTGGAGCATTTTCATATTGTTTAGACTAGAAAGTATAAAGCCCCCCGGCAGTGTTCACAGTAACTTAATAGTTTGTTTTTATTACATGTGTTCACACAAACAAACTCCACAAATAAAATATTAAAATATCGTGGAGAATAACTACGAAACTCGAGACGGACCCATAAATCTCATCTGTTCAAGATGCATTTCGCCTCTCATTCCAATCCACTTACAGCCGCCCGTGTGTGTGTGTGTGTGTGTGTGTGTGTGTGTGTGTGTGTGTGTGTG